TTAAGCTGCAGTGTAATAGAGAGGCTTGCACTGCAAAGCTTGACAAACTGTAGAGGTTTAACGCACCTGCCAACAAAGAGAAAAAACATTAGCTACAAATGCCACAGACGTGACAAGTGCAAACAAAATCCCTACAAACCTGACCATACATGGCAGGTACTGGCAGCCAAATGACTTGCAGTAGGTTAGTCATTATTTGGCTAACAGGACCAATGGCAATAGCTGTGCCCAGCTACCTACATACCTCATCAGACTGTTTAACGTTGTCATGTCGCTTTTCAAGGTCTGCATACTTTTTCCAATATCCATAGCAATATGGATAATGCGTGAAAAACCTGTCAAATGCTTTCCTGGCAGCTGGTAAGTGGTTCTGCAAGAAATACACAATAAAAGCAATGACTCCTTTCCTTAAAAAAACCTTCACGTTATTTCAAAAACAACTACTGTTTTGTCTTAAAAACAATTGGTTTTATTTTGTGGTCTCTGCTGACGATGCTGGCAAGGGCAACTGTCTTAAAACAGTATCTATGAAAGCCTGATGAACAGTTCTAGAGTTGTCACTGGAAGTTCCATGACTTGTTTTGGTTTTCTTTGTTTAATTCTGGAAGGCTAAGGAAAAAGGGGGCATGTACTAACCTCCTGCTCTACATACTGTAGTAGATATACCCATCCTGTGAAATCCTGGGGATTGTCCTCTACCACTTTCCAGAACTTGTCAAAATCTGGAGGGAAGCAAGCCTCAATATCTGTTGTCTGTAAACTTTCGATATTTGGAATTTCACTCTCCTGTGTGTTCTCTTCATTCAAGTCAGGGGAACTATCAGGTGATTGTTCCATCTCAGTTACACTCATAATTTCTGTACTGAAGTCCATATGCTGTTCTTCTGTTGCTGTTTCAGCGCCATTGTCTGTGCTGTCATTGCTTACAGTCGGCTTCTCCTCCTCTGCGTTATCTGTGTTCTCCATAGCTGAGGTTACTGCTGTTTCGTAGTACTAGATCCTGTGGAAATAAAAAGACTCAGTATTCATGCAGTGAAGGTTCAAGCAGAACTTGGGCGTGAATTATCAGCTAAGCGTCTCCCAAGTGCTTCAGGCATTCACGTATTTCACCACAAACCTTCATCAATTAGATCTGCTTCACGCACAAACCTTATTCACAATTTAAAACAATGTTAATAGCAGTCATGTATTTTAACATCCGCACATACAAATCACCGTGGTTTTTCTAAAAAAACTACCACAAGTAGCTATCAAGGTATAAAAGTGAACCAATACAGTTTTCCTGTATGAGTCTAGCGGACGTTTACTCCAAATAAAGAATTATGTTCAAATTTATTCAATTCTCCTACTTAGTACAAATCAGTAACTTCTTTGCAAAATAAGTATCTGTTAAAATGTACCCTCAACGCCTAGCTGAACTGGCTTAAGCGATAATTTTGCAAAGAGAAGAATTACTATCAGCACTAGACTCGGTCCATATTAATGATGCCTATATAAACCAACCAGCACCAGAGGGCCACAAAAATGTTTAGGCTAGCCCTTACATGCAGTCACTCGCTCCCACACACCACTCTCATGTCAGGGGTTCCTCCTGCCCCTCAGGACAGACTCCATCTTCCTCCCACTCTTCATCTTGATCTTCCTGCCAAACGCTGCTGCCCAGCCCTACCCTCCTCCGCAAACGCCAGTCCAGCCTAACCCGGCTGCATGCTGCTCTGCCAAACAGCGCTCGGCCTCAACCCATCTCAGCCTTCCATCGCCTGAAGCCTGGGCATGAGGCACTCAGCTGAACCTTCCCCACGTTCTCAAGCTAGATCCTAATGACTAACGGATTCTAGGTAATACAATACCCATGTGGAATACAATAGCTCTTAGCTGTGAATATATTTTGGATGAAGAACGGCACGAGACCATCATCCTGAAATGCACTGTGGCAACTGCCACTCCTATTTCCCTTCGGTTCTCCTCGGAGGAGATAACAGCAAATAAGTTTTGCCTTAAAAAAAAAGTCCCCGCCCCATTCTGTATCTCCAGAATTCTTTCCCACTGAAAGCCTGAAAAGAGAAAAAACAGACCGCTTGCTTTCATTTCAACAAATACATCGATAAGCCATCAATAATAAAGTTGGGGAAAAAAAAACTGACAGAAAGGAAAAATATCTACACCCTACCTTCAGCAGCTTCAATGCGTGAGATAACAGTTCACGTTTTCCTAGGAGTTCACCAAGCCAAGTAACTTGGGCGTAGTGTTAAAAGGTCCACGTGCTCTACTCTGCAAGTTTTCTAATAACTGTTTTTTAAAAGTAATTATTTCTGTTCTCCGTTGTATGCATCACCTAGCAATCATACAAATACAATTTCTTTCCTTTAAGGTAAACAGTTCATAATTTTGTAACTTTATCTGTTCATTTTTATGAACAGTTCATACCATTCAAAAGTCACACGAACATGATGTGACCGCACAGAGCACTATACTGCTTTTGTTCTACAGGAAAAGAGGACGCTTGTGTAAGATGAGCAGTTTATTGCATTAATGGCCAGCTCTTCCCCACATCCTGGGCCACTCTGGAAAGCCTGCATCAAAAGCTGGTTTCTTCAGTGAGTGTTGGAGATGCATCTTCAATATTGATTTTGAGAGTAAACATAATTTATAAGTTAAGAAATTAAGTATCAAAGCCATATCATTACGCCTTTACCAGTGCAACATACAGAAGAGATCTGCGTCATTAAAAGCAGCTGCTATCATTCAGAGCTTACCTCTGTAAAGATTACAAAATCAAGGCATAAGAGGAGTGCGTTATGCAAGCAACAGCCCCAACACTTGAAAAAAATAGTTTAAAGCGTGTTTACAGCTCTAAAATTTGAGAAAGCTAATGTAATTGTTTTTAAACATGCAATAATTTATGACCTCAACTTACTCTGGTATTTGACAGATGTTTTCCCCCTCTAGCTGATTCAGAAGATGTATTCCAGCTTAAAAAAAAACAAATCCCCCAAATCTAGCTGCCTTCAGATTAGGGGGAAGGAAAAAAAGAAAGAGGGAGAAGCGGTACCGCATCACCTCTGCACACAAGTTTTCAAACAGAATCTACAAGCCTGTTTGATGGTTTGCTTCCAGCTGAAGGCGTTCTAGAACCCGCCCAGGGAACCGAGGCACATCCCAAACTCTTACCGTAACCGAAGGCTACGGCCGACATGATCGACCCCGTCTGGTACCAAACGAATGCCCGTCAATCCACGGAGCTATGAAGGTAGCAGACCCGAAGCTGATGCACACCCAGCACAACCACGTAACAGAGTAACTTAATGCCAGGAGTTTTTACATCACTCAGGCTAAATAACTAAATAAGTATATCGGGTAACTACATGCACCAGCTTTAAATAATTTATGTTGACATATATTGCTCGGCCTGTTTCAATTAAACGTTTGTTGCATACAATACTGGCCCTTATAAATATGAATGAACCAATGGAAAACACCTAGGAAAAAATACAAACGGGCAGCACCGAGGAATTTCAAGCCTCCTCTTACCCCCTTCCCTGCCCTAGGCAGAACGCTTCACAGTCCCGATAAGCAGCTGCTCGAAACCTTCTGGGGCAGGGCTGCACGGGCGTTACTGACCTGGCCCCTTGGCCGCTTCTGCCCCAAGACTGACGTTTTGGTGGCCAAAATACAGGAATAATGTAATAAACCGCAAACCGCTCACAGACTTTGAGCTGGCCTATTATTTGTTCGGAGACTTAAGCGGCTATTACAGCACATAAAAGAGAGATAAAATTTATTCTAGCAAGCGAAAACCGCAGGCAGGCTGGTTCCTCCGGGTGCCCGGTAGCTGCTGGCCAGGGGAAGGGCTGCAGGCGGCAGCGGGGCGACTGTCACGGCACGCGGAGAGCCCCACGCACGCCGCCTCCTCCCCTCAGGCGCCCCTCAGGCG